TTACTTTACATCCACAGATGAAAATCGTTCATTACGAAATATCGCAATAATGCACCGCCCCTTTGCTTCTAGATGCCTAGGGGGACCATTTAAGCAGGTCACGGCTCCATGGTATTTAAGCGCCTACAATGTATAGGACGCAAGACCGTGTCTCTTAATCAGGTTGAACAAAAGAATGCTCAAACCCAGACGTCACATTCCGTAGGAGAAAAACGAAAGCACAGCTCCGATGTTCTGAGGTAGACTCCATGAATGCAGTTTTCGATACTGCCGTCGATATACAGTATTTAAAATATATCGATATCGGAATGAAGCGTCGGAAACGTTCAGTGTAAATGAACAAAAATATGAATTTAATTGCAGAAAATCATAGACCAGAGCATTCCACAACGAATTGAGCTTAAAGTCGCATAACATGGCAGAAAATTTTGTTACTGCCGTAAGATTAATGACACCTTATCTAATTAAAACTGTGTCCAATTCGTCTTAGGCACTGTTAGTGCATGTAGATCATATTCCACTTGGCAATCAGATCAGCTTGTGCTATATATTTCCGTGGTCGATATGAGACGCAATTTCAGGCAAATCAATAATTCACAAGGTAATCTTTCCAACGAGGTCGCTAATCTGAGCAACCGTGCTCCCCGAGGTCCTTTCTAAGTCATAAATGTCAGTGTCTTCATGGCCATTATTAGTCTCCATCCGTGCAAAAACGATCGTGCATATCTGAGTGTTAAATACAATAATATCAAACTGACACTAAACCGGCAGAGAACTTTGGTAGTGAGTCACGTCACTTTTATATGCCCTGCTCCACGTAGCCGTTAAACACGTGTCACTCGACCATGTCGAAGGTTCGAAATCAGCATCTTATGCTAGAGAGCCGTACGTTTGGATGATATTTGTACGTTAGTAGGAAATCTTTGTATTTACGCAGTTATCGTCTACAGATTCAAGCAGTCAGTCGATCATAAAATTCATAATATTTTGAACTTCTACACAAATAACAAAACCAACGGCAACTGCGTAGTCGACTAGAATAATCTCTGTCAATGCAGATCTTTCTCGATATCGAATTTGTTGATTCAGTTGATCTAATTGCCATTGTAACGGATGCGTGTTCTACCACCGGAGCTTTGCTAATCCTCGATGGTCCGACACGTTGTCTACATAACATCGTAGACGACGTGTACGGAAAAGACCACACTGTATACCCAGACGGGGCGACTCAGACATTCAATTGTGCAGAACTGGGTGCGAATTTCGCGAATGCCTCAAGAATGAAGCGACAAAGTGAAGGCTAACTTTGCTGATTCGTTCTTTTCTATAATAGTTTATTGCCTTCGCCTGATTAATGGTCAATTTTTGGCAGTAACGGAGTTTTTAGTTCTCCTTGCCGCCTTTTAACGGGCACGAGACCAAAGGAGTTACGAAAGAAGTGTCAGGTTCAATTCCCCAAAAAAAGACACAGCTTATCTTACCCGCTAATTTCCCTTGAACAAGGAATTTATGTAACATTGCTTCGGTGCAACCAGCTTCAAAAAGGGTAGCAGTCATTGACTCGAGAACGACAGCACATTATTGTACTCTGACGTGGTCATACTAGAATGGGCAACATGTACGAGCATACTGTCCAGTGCAAGCCCCATGTGGCTGCATTTCGTCTTGACTCACTTGATAGATGACTGTTTATTGTGATAATCGTCACAAGGTGTAAGTCCAAAAACTTGGGCAGTCAGCAATTTTTAACTTTGGCAAAACTGTTCAACTTTCACCTACTGCGAGGAATGGAGATAGCAGATGAGAGACAGACGGGAGGCAAAGCACCGCGAAAAACTGCCTGGCATTGCACTAGACAAGCTGACCTTTGCGACTTAGCACTGAGAAATTATCATTTTTGACATCGTTCAAATGGAGAGTCTGTACCATGATCGATGATGGTTTCTTACTGACAACAGTAACACGCTGTTATACTCCTCCCGGTAATATAACGTTAGGTGACATGATACGAATTAGCTAGGAAACAAGGGCTTCAGTGAATTTTCTAACGAAATAATACGTGTAAACTTATGCAGTGGAAAAACGTACTGTACAGTTTGTCATCATATAGGTCACCTGACGTTTTTGCAATTTTTAAAAGTTTCCAGGTAACGATTTCGGAAGGGCAGTGAACCTTGCTTCACTTGGAATCATGCTAGTTTAGTGACATCTGTCGTCAGACGCTGATCCGGGAAATAATTTAGCCTAGGGCACGGATTTTATTACAGGCAATGTATCTTTGAACACTGCGATGCCTGACGATTGGCAGCAGAACTTTTAGACGATCCAATAATAAGCCTTTAGAACTTGCTTCTGATTTGGTTTCTCGTAACAGCGTGTGTTTACG